ACACACACACACACACACACACACACACACACGCACAAGGGAAGCAACACGACGTAGTGAGCCCCTCATGGCACTCACCAGTCCTCAGCCAGATCATGAAACTCGACCGGTCTCGTCCTGGTCCAAATACCGGACAAAACCTCTATTTTTTCACACCACATCTTTCTGACTGGACATCTAACGGTGATGACGATTGTGGAACCGGAGCAGCCAGCCTCCTACTGTCCCCGTCGCTTGTAGCAACCGGCACGTCCTTGTATGTGATGCTGTAGCCCACAGTGTTTTACAATGCCACATGGGACTCTTGTGTCAGGTTGCTAGATATTACACAGGTTTTTGGGGGGATTTTTTGAGTAAAGGTTTTTTTGTATGCCTATTTGCACATCTGTTTTAATGTCGTCGGAAGCTGTGTAGCCTACTGTTTGTGTGTGTGTGTGTGTGTCCAGTGTGTATGTGTGTGTGTATATGTGTGTGTGTGTGTGTGTGTGTGAGTGTCTCTGTGTGTGTGGCTCTTTTTACTTTGAATTAAAATAGCTGTTTTTTCGTCCCCATCAACCCAATTTAGATCATGCTCTTTCAGGAGGCGGGCTTCTAACCCTGCCTGTCTGAACCAGCCTGGGCGGGGAGGGATACAACATTCAACATCCCAGCAGACAGACGGCTGAGAATACTGAGATCACTCGATAAAAATTCTCCCCACCCGGGAATCGAACCCGGGTCTCCTGCGTGATGTGACTCTTGACAGCAAAGGGCCTGACCACTTCTCCACAGACTCAGATGCCAGAGTGGGTGGTTGGCAAGTGCTCTAGTGTTGTTTGCTCCTTCTTTCCTATCAAACATCTCATCGTCCTTATCTCTCCTCCTTCTTTTTTGTGTATGTTACTCTCTTGTAACACATCTACTCTTCGGCTCTTATATGACCTTATTGTGTTGCTAGTGCCGTAAAACTCTACTAAAACTACAAAAATCAGACGCCAGTTGTGTTTCCTTGACCAGTGGTCAGAGCGTTTGAATGTCTGGTCCTGATCACAATCTTCGCCAACTGTATCGCCCTGGCTATTTATATCCCATACCCCAAGTCCGACTCCAACGACATGAACGCTGCACTGGTGAGTACAACATGTGTGTGTGTGTGTGTGTTTTGTGTGTGTGTGTGTGTGTGTTTGTGTGTGGGTATGTGAGTGTGTTGTGAGGGGGGGTATGTGTGTTTGTGTGTGTGTGGGTATGTAAGTGTGTTGTGGGGGGTATGTGTGTTTGTGTGTGTGTGTCTGTTTGTGTGTGTGTGTTTGTGTGTGTGTGTGTGTGTTTGTGACTGTGTGTTGTGTGTGTGCATGTGTGCTTGTGTCTGTTTGTGCTGTGTGTGTATGTGTTGTGTATGTGTCTGTCTGTGTGTGTGTGTGTTGTGTCTGTGTGTGTGTTGTGTCTGTGTGTGTGTGTTGTGTGTGTTAGGGGTGGAAGGGGGAGTAAAGGTGGATATGTGGATGCTGTGAAAGAGGTATAATGGTTGGGGGGTGGGGGTTGTTAGGGAGTGGAGGGATGTTAACAATGTGTTGCTGGTGTGTGTCAGCAGTGTGTTGCTGTGTTGTTTTGGAGCAGGTGTGTCGTTGTACTGATTGTGTCAGCGGTGTGTTGCTGAGCTGTTTTGGAAGTGTGTTGTTATTGCAATGTGTCGGCGGTGTGTTGCTGTGTTATTTTGGAGGTGTGCTGATGTACTGCTGATTTGTAGGGGTGTGCTGGCACAGTGTTGGGAAGAACTGGGCTAAGAACTGATTCCCAAATCCGGCGAAACGGTTACTATTTCTCGTCCTGACTTCAGAGATAGAGAAGACACACACACACACACACACGTGTGTGTGTGTGTGTGTGTGTGTGTGTGTGTGTGTGTGTGTGTGTGTGTTTGGTTATTGTTTAGGATTGGTGTGTGTGTGTGTGTGTGTGTGTGTGTGTGTGTGTGTGTGTGTGGTAATTGTTTGGGACTGATATAAGATTTATATGTGTGTGTGTATGAAAGTGTGTTTGACTAATATTTGTGTGACTATGTGTATGTGGAGGCGGCTTTGTGTTTTCGTCGGGGGGAGAGGTGTGAGGATTGTTTTACAAGTTAGGTCCAAGAGTTTTAAACCAGTTTGTAACAATCGCTGCGCCGTAATTGGGGAAACCCGGTTGCTGTGGAACCGGGTATTGGCGCAGCTGTTGTGTTGTGGGCGAGCAGTGGCAAGGGAGGAATGTGGAGGTATTGATTTCTGTCCTCACGCTCTCTCTCTCTCTCTCTCTATTGCTCTCTCTCTCTCTCTCTCTCTCTCTCTCTCTCT